TATATATATATATATATATATATATATATATATATATGGGGGGGATATACGTAGGCCACCCCCGTATATATATATATACATACTGAGAAAACTGTTCGGGGTCAATAAATTTTGACACTGAAGACTTTGTGCTATATGAATCGATTCCATTTTAGAATATGTTCAAATAGAAAACGGCTATTATGAATTGGGTCACACTTTAGTTTGGGGACCAATTCTCACTATTAACTAACTGTTTACTATGACTTTTGCCTCAATAAACTCCTAAACCATGGCTTATTAATACTTAGTAAGGTCATTGTTAAGTTTAGGTATGGGGTATACTGTATATATAATCTCTTGAAAGAATAATAAATAAAACTTGTATCAGTCATATTGTTCACCACTGTCTGTCTGTGTGCTTGCAGATGTACGTGACGTTGGTGTTTAGGACTAAAGGGACGCGTCTGACCAAACCCACACTCAGTCTGACTCTGCTGTGTCTGGCCATGCTGGTGGGTGTGGTCAGAGTGGCTGAATACCGCAACCACTGGGCCGACGTCCTCGCTGGATACTTAACCGGCGGAGCCATCGCTGTCTTTCTGGTGAGAGCGTGTGGAGTGGGATAAAACAACACTCAAATGAAGAGATAATTGCATGCGAATACAAGTAATGTATAATATACATATGTAAATAAATGCATATACACTACCGTTTAAAAGTTTGGGGTCAGTAAGTTTTTTTTTTCTCTCTCTCTTCTCTCTCTAGGTGATGTGTGTGATCAACAGCTTCCAGCAGACAAAGCCCCCACCCCCGCCGGTGCGACCCCAGCGTCCTGAGTCTGTCCTGGGCATGCCCATGGTGGCGCTGCCCTGCGTAGAGAGTCCACTTGAAAAGTTAAGTGGCACTCAGGTAAGGGGTGGGAGTGGGTTAGTGGCAGGCCTGCACACATAAGGGGGATGGATTATGCCCCACCCTGTCCTTCTCTGTTTGACCCAGTGGACCCTAATGTGACTCCCAAGACCCACCCGGCCCCCCTTCTCCCTTTACTAGCATGTCCAACCTGCACAACCCAAACACCAACAACAGCACCCTGCAAAACCCACTGATGCTCTGGAGGATTGATCGGCTCCTTGCTTATCCTGAAGAGACGTTATATTACTTTTATAATAGAGTAACTGAGAAGCAGCTGAATGTTTAGGGCCATTAACTCACTGATCCCTCAATGGGTTGATGGGAATTTAACATCTTTAGAGCAGATGTACCTTTACGACAAAGAAAATGGACTGTGTAGCATGTGGAACTTCAAAGACGGAAGGCCATTAGATGGTTCATTCTGGGAAAAATGACCACAGTGTGAGTTTCCCTTCGTAGGCCACCCTCATCCTCCTCACTTTTGAAACTACTTTGCCACCTTTTCCTCTCTTTGTCACCTCGACCATACAGTCATCCCTTTTCTCCCTCAGTCTTACATTTTATTTAGTGATACACCGAAATTTAGGCAACCAAATAAAAGGGTTCACGGAGGGCTGAAATCATTGACTGAAAGAGTGATGTTTAAGGTCCGATGTCACGTTTTGACTGTCAACATCTTTTTCGTGCATACAACGTTATGGAAGCCTATTTCTGCCATGGAATTTTTTAAAAAAGGCAACGGAGACCTTTTTCACAATTCTGACTTTTTTCTCGCCATGGGATAAAAAACAAAAATGGTAATTACGACTTTTTCTCTCACAATTCTAACTTTTTTTTTTTTTTTGCAATTCTGACTTTTTTCTTGAAATTCTGAGGGAAAAAAGTCTGATTTGCAAGATATAAACAAAACAAAAAAAATCTTAATTGTGAAATATAACCTCGCAATTGCAAGAAAAAAGTGAGAATTGTGAGATAAAAAGTAAAAAAATAAAAAGGTAATTGTGACTTTTTCTCTCACAATTCTCTTTTTTTCTCGCCACAGAATAAAAAAATGGTAATTGCAACTTTTTTATCTCACAAATCTGACTTTTTTTTCTCGCCATGGAATTAAAAAATAAAAAAGTAATTGCGACTTTTTCTCTCACAATTGTAACTTTTTATTGCAATTCTGACTTTTTTCTTGAAATTCTGAGGGAAAAAAGTCTGAATTGCAAAATATATACTTGCAATTCTGCAAAGGAAAGTCTTAATTGTGAAATATTAACTCGCAATTGCAAGAAAATTGTTAGAATTATGAGATAAAAAAATAAAAAGGTAAGCTAATTGTGATTTTTTTTTTCACTCACAATTGTGAATTTTCATCTCGAAGTTTTGACCGATTTTTTCAGAATTGCGAGAAAACATTATTTGTAGTGTGCCTGTTATCCAATAAGCAATAAGCTTTGTGCTTTTCTTTTTAACATGAAAAAGTCTGAGCTTTCAAATTCAGTCAATTTCACCACGAAATACAAACAATAAATGTAGATTTGGCATTCTTTCATGTGACGTGCACATTTACCTCAGAAAAGGCGTTCATAAACGACCATAAACTTGATAGTTAGCAAAAAAAAATAACTCTAGAGAGGAGCATTTTAATAAATATAAGCACTATATTACATATTGACTATATTTTTTACTTAACCTGTTTGCGATGTCTTCATTATTTAATGTATGTTTAAATAAATCTGTCATGAAAACACATTTTTATTACAGCCACCGTTTACATGTTTATATTTCATCAAAAATTTGTAGTAGAAAAATAACTGTATTATTAAAAAGTTAATATATAAACAATTTAAATCTTTGTATCAACTTGTAATAAATGTTATAATTAGTTTCTGTTTCAATTTTGGTTTTTGGTGTCTCGGTAAAAAAATGAATTTCGGTGCATCACTAATTTTATTTAATCCGAACACAATTTCCACCTTCCAGTCTTGGTTTCTCATCCTTTCTCTCTCTCTCCCCTCACACTCTCTCTCCCCCCTTACAGACTCCAAGGGGATCTCCATTCACTGAGATCACATGACCATCAGCCTCATCGGTTCCCCGTCCCCCCCGATGTCCTCATACCGTCTCGTTCCATTTCCAGCGAAGTGTAGACCAGCCGTCCCAGCACGTGCGCCACTGCGCCGCCCACTCCGGGGGACGCTCCGCCGCTCTGCACCACTCCTACTCGACACAGGTCTAGATTTTCTCACCTCCAACCCTCATCTTCCATATTCCTCCATGCTGCCAATAGGGCCTCCACAAACCACTCAAACAAACCACGAGAAGCACTTTTAGAGAGCCTGCTCAAAGATCCTGAACGCCTGAACGAAAGCCAGAAATCACAGGTAGTCTCACTCTTGCCAGAGAGTTTGTTTGGACTGTGGGTGGAGGATTCGCACCTGTTTAGACCTCTCAAAACCAACCCGACCTACTTCCTGGGGAACCGATGAAGAAGTCTTGATCAGCTTTTGGCTGAAATTCCAAACTCTGGCTGCAATTTTTACTGCAGTGTCAGTTTGTATGTAAATACATGCACTGTTTTCTTGGTCTTTTGGTTAAAGGCATGTCTATTTTGTTCCATTTAGTTCATTAGGGTGACCATACGTCCTCGTTTTCCCAGACGCAGTTTTTAAATTGCCTAAACTGTCCAGGTTTTGGCTTTTCTTTCCTATTGTTTTCATACTTGCTGAAGGTAATGACTGAAAAATGCTTTGACCAGTAGCGTGCAGGCATTGTACACAATCAACCAATCGTGGCGTGTGAGAAGGCGGGATCTACAGAGAATGGTCAAAGCAATGCAAATGCACATACAAATAGCATATACGTATTGGAAAGAGCAAGTCAATAAGAAAACAAAGCCAAAACCTGGACATTTTAGGCAATTTAGAAACCACGGCCAGGACACGTCCGGGAAAAAGAGGACGTATGGTCACCTTAGCACTGATGGAGTTTTTAAGTTACGTTTTTATAGTCCCCACAGTGTATGGTTTTGGAAAATGACATACATAAAGTATCTATTGGTTTGTTTTTGAGTCATATTCACTATGCACTTGGGACAATCTCATCAGCATCAGCTATCTGGATGGTCCTGTAAGTGCACATCAAGGAAAAAACCTCGTTCTTGGTACCAGCTCTTATAATAATGTTTGGATGCGTCAGAAGGAAATGACAGACATAAAATTCATCCACAGCATTCTTTTTAATATTTAATGTCCGGTTTGTGCTCGCAAGGATTTCTCCACCAGCTAGATGTAATGCACAGTCTGACATGAAGGCCTTTTCATTACTGTCGCCACAGATACAACACGAGGCTTTCAGACATTAAACATTCTTACAGTTTGTCATCAAAGATGGATTGGATTCGTCATTTCTCAGGAGAGAAAAGCAAGAAATGCACCCCATGACGTCATCATCTGTATTGTTGTTGGTATTTCTATAATGGTTTTCAAAAATGCAGTAACTGAAAGTCAACTAGTTTCTTTCCTGTATATTGAATAACCTTTTCACATTCATATCACTATTTGTTACTAACAGGGATGTGTGCAATTCAGAATTGAATTGAAAATGCCTCTGTTTAGAGCCTCTGAATTTGAATTGAATTTGAATTCAATTCAAAGTAGCAAAGAGATGCAGAATTGAAATTCAATTTTGAATATTAGGAAATGGAATGAAAATGAAAATCTGAACAGTAAGCTAGAAAAGAAAGGTTTATCAAGACAGACCTTGAATGTTGGCATAAATTCTTGTTTGAAAGCTTTTTAAAAAAAGATTGAAGTTTCATAGGCTTAACAGATACAACTTGTGTAACTCTAAAAAAAATTTTTTTTGCACGTTTGTAAATAAACGATCTCTTTTCATATGCTAATTTGATTTTGTATTAGTAGGGAGTGTTAAATGTCATGTTCAGGTTCTGTTTTATATTAAGTTCAAACTAAATTAAGTACTACACTAAATAGAAATTACTAAATAGAAATCAAAAGATAGATAGATCCCCCCCGTTAGAAATAGTTGTCCGGGGGCACCTATATCAGACCCAGCCCATTCCTGCTCTTTGGAAACAGCACAGAATGCCTTGTAATACAGTGGGATGTTAACGTTTGAAGTTATTTGAGCTATTTGATGACTGGTTATCGTAGCCTGTACTGCCTAGGTGATGAAAGATGAAAGAAAATAGTTGTTTCAGTAGTGGAGTGAGGTTTTACATTTTGATGAAAAATTAAGACAAACATCATTTTCTATTGGAAGAACATGCACTGATGAATCATTGGTAATAAGTCCAGGAAAGTGTTTTAAAGGAATAGTTCACCCAAAAATAAAACAAATTGCTGAAAATGTACTCGCCCTCAGGCCATTCAAGATGTAGATGAGTTTGTTTCTTCATTGGAACAGATTTGGAGAAATGTAGCATTACATGACTTGCTCAGCAATGGGTCCTCTGCAGTGAATGGGTGCCGTCAGAATGAGAGTCCAAACAGCTGATAAAAACATCACAATGATCTACAAATAATCCACACCACTCCAGTCCAGTTCTTGTGAAGCAAAAAGCTGTGTGTTTGTAAGAAACATTATTCTTTAAGGTGGTTTAACTTTAAGCTGTTGCTTCCAGCTAAAATAGGAGTCCTCTATCCATAACATTGCTTTCTCCAGTGCAAGTCACCTCGTCTGAATCAGAAGGTTGCGAGAAATATGCACAGATCAAGAGAAAACAGTCCAAAACAGTTCTAAACAAATATGTGGGTGGATTTTGATGTGAGAGGATAACAGGGGATTAACTTTTTCACTCAAGGAAGCATTATTATGGATTATGGACTGATATTTTGGCCAGAAGCAACAGTTTAAGTGGTTTAAAGTTAAAATGTCTTAATGATGGATTTGTTTCTTACAAACATGCAACTTTTCATTTCACAAGACATTAATTGATGGACTGGAGACGTGTGAATTACTTGTGGATTATTGTGATGTTTTTATCAGCTGTTTGGACTCTCATTCTGACGGCACCCATTCACTGCAGAGGATCCATTGGTGAGCAAGTGATGTAATGCTACATTTCTCCAAATCTGTTCAGATGAAGAAACAAACTCATCTACATCTTGCATGGCCTGAGGGTGAGTAAAGCAAATGTACTTTTTTGGATAAACTACTCCTTTAAGAAATTAAATAGGGAACATTTTGAGCAAATGGTTAAGTGTCTCAGGCAGCTAAAATAAAGTATTGCTCACAGATTCATGTGCTCATGTTTGATCAACTATAATAGATTTTCTACACCGAGGATGTTCATGAGAGAGTCAATTGGCTGTATGTGCTGTATCATATGTAAGCCAAGTGTTGTGCACTTCATAATTTTGAGCTCTGTTAAAATTAAAATTTTTCTGATTTTTTTTTTAATGTTTGCTTTAAATCATTTCTTTTCTAACATAGTGTTTAGACTAATTGTTTGGTACTGTAAGTAAACTGTGTATACAAATTGTGTGTACTTTAATCAGATGAGTGTAAACGCTCCACCTTGTTGCTCAGTTGGCTGTATGTGCTGTACCATACGTAAGCCAAGTGTTGTGCACTTCATAATTTTGAGCTCTGTTAAAATTAAAATTTTTCTGATTTTTTTTTTAATGTTTGCTTTAAACCATTTCTTTTCTAACATAGTGTTTAGACTAATTGTTTGGTACTGTAAGTAAGCTGTGTATACAAATTGTGTGTACTTTAATCAGATGAGTGTAAACGCTCCACCTTGTTGAACTCCAAACGGATGAAAATTAATGTTTGTAACATTAACTGTGACGTCTAATCTGTCTGATGCCCCTCAGCCTTTACATCCTGGCACCAGGTCCAGCCTCTGCCACATTCTGTGCTACGTACAGTTACTGTCTCTGTTGTAAGAGCACCATCTACACGTGCTAAGAAACACCTTGTCAGAAAGGCCTGGCATAGAGGATAAACAATAATGTGTTTTTTGAACCTTAAACCGCATAAACATTTCATTACACCAAATACACAAAATAATGTTCTTTTTAGCAGCATCATATGACCCCTTTAAGGGGATTCATGCAGTGTGGCTCGGTTCACTGCATGAAAAGAGCTGAAATAGATGAGTTTGTTTCTTCATCAGAACAGATTTGGAGAAATGTAGCATCACATCACTTGCTCACCAATGGATCCTCTGCAGTCAATGGGTGCCGTCAAAATGAGAGTCCAAACAGCTGATAAAAACATTACAATAATCCACAATTCACACTAATCCAGTCCATGAGTTAACATCTTGTGAAGTGAAAAACTGCATGCTTCTACTCATCTACATCTTGAGTGGACTGAGGGTGGGGACATTTTTTTTTCCATTGGATGCATCTTTTTTTCTTTTTGCTTGATTTGTTCGTATTATGTGCTCCTGTCATATAATATTCCAAAAAATATACTATAAATACAAATGTTTTATAGATGGATCTATTATTCTCTCAGACTGTGGGTTGTAATCAGTAGTGTCTGGGCGGTGGGCATGGCTTCATCAGGGGGTGTGGAGGAGGAGGAGGAGGAGGAGTGGGCGGAGCCTGTCAATACGGTGAAGAAATGCAGTGTTTGGTGCAGCGGGCGCAGTGAGTGGAGCTTCACGAAATCCTTGCGTGTTTTTTAAAGGTGGGAAATGCCCTCGCTCCAGAAGTACAGGTTTATTCGCCAGTACGCCGCAGAGGACGTGCGGCTTTGAAGACAGCGGAGTGGGCAAAGCGCTCGCTAGCCGTCGGCCATTTAGATAAAACTGGGTTCGTGGACAGAAGAAAGCAGACAACAGGATCTGGACACGTTTACACAGACCTATGAGACTGTTCTCAGGTAATGTAGACTGTAGATGTCATTCGCACAGCGTGTGTGCACAGAAGCATCGCTCTCTGCACCTGTCACATGCATTATCTACATGGCCATTGTTAAAGGCGACAGATGAATAGAAAAGTTTAGCGCGACAGAGTTGCGTTGGACACTCATTCAAGTCGCTACGTGTGCAGAATTTTCCTACGCACTGCACATGCAACACATTTTCTCGCGTTAAAGCGGCCGTGTTCCCTGCGTGCTCGTTTTGTCATTGACGGTCGGTTACGCATATTATTATGCAGCGCATTATGACGTACCTACCGGGGTATTATGACGCAGCCGCTCTTTTTTACGTTTCAGAGAACGCGTGAATGTAGAACTCAGATTTAGAATCGGGAATTGTTGCACTGTTTTTCAGGCGAAACTGAAATTGTTCAGTGGAGTTCAAGCTTCCGCATAATTTCGTATGATTTTTTATTTTCTTGTCACACGTTTCTTGTCACACAGGTTCTTAAAATAGACGATATAAAATGTGTGTGATGATATTATGGAAATGTTTCTTCTCCTTTTGAAGAAAATTATTAAATAGGCAACATTTAAACTTTAAGATTGTGTACTTTTATTTGTTTGTTAGTTTATTTAGGAGTGTTAAAAAGTAAATTCTCCTAGAATCACTATTTTGGCCTTCTCCCCTACCCAGATTTTTAACTTTTAACTCCACCCTTTAAAATTGAATTATTATTGACTGAAAAAAAAAACTCTTAACAATAGGGCATAATATATTGTATTAATATGAGGAAATTTTCCTTTTCTTATTTCTTTCAGATGTTTTACCTAAATATTTATATTTCAACTTAAAATGCACCCACACTCACACATACATTTAAGTGATTTTTAGATATGCACTTTTTACCAAGCTAAAAGATTTTAAGTTTTAAGTTTTTTATTTTTTTTTATTTTTAGGTATCCAGGTTTTTTGGCATGCAGATTTTCCTCCACCGTGTCATGTTTAGTATAATGACTTGCTAATCCTTTCGTTCATTAGCCTATAGTGCATATAGGTGTGAAGTGATAAATAGATGCCAGTCAACCACACACCTGCTTCCATAAGACACATTTGTCAAAGTCAAGCCTCAGCTGAGGTTAAAACTTCATAGTGATGGGCCTTAAGTGAAAATCTCACACGTTTACGCGATAATACCGCATACCGTGATAAAAGCATTAGCAATTAATCGCGACATGAAAATCTGATACCGGCATATCCCTAATGTGTAGTAAATTCTGCTCCATCTGAAAGCACGTGATGATGATTTCCTGCTGATTACAGAACCGGCATTACTATCAAAATGCGCATGACAATCGCATTCGATTAATCGTGCAACCCTAGTTTAAGAGTAGGCCTAACCTTTGCGAATTACCCATATACACTTATATGGTTTGTTGTTATTGAAACATCTAGTGTATCATGTTATGGAATTGACATTAATTTGTCCGTTATTCCCAAATCGAATTAATTTCAGCCATGTGACCAGCCATGAAAGTCTGTGGTTTATGTGGTGGTCGATTGTTTGTTGTTGAAAGGTTACCTGAAGCACATTCCCTCTCTTCAGTGTGCGTCACAGCTACAGTATGCAGAATGTACTCCATACGTGCCCTCTTCTCAGGAGCTCACATGTTGCCAGTCACCTTTTTTAGTCTGTAAATAGATTTACAATGGAAGTGTTAACTTGGGCCAACAGGAGGCTGGTTACTAGATTAAAGAAAGACATTGTGCAGATCTCATCATGACCCAATCTGCTCCTCTTTAATCAATGTCTGAGTGTTGCAGTCATGCCAGTACATGTGTAAATGATTTAAACCCTTGTTAGGTTTAATCTTAATAAAGTACAGCAACATGTTTACTGGCATTTTTGGTGGGATTAGTCCGTTTAAGCCCATTGTTTGTGTGTTAGACCCGATCATGAGAGGTTTCGCAATGGATTCCTCAGCCTTTCTTCTAGAAGTTCAAGTAAATGCCTTCGGTTTGTTCCATGCATAAGAATTTGAAAAGAACAGCTGGACGTTTGTGTGGAAGAATCCAACTTATTTGGAAAATCATGCATTCTACACTAAAAATAATGCATTACTGTATGTCAAAAATGTTTTGTATTTTTGGTTGGTTTAGGTTAAAAGAAGTTTTATGGAATGTTTTATTGCAGAGACATTGATTCACAGTGTAGTAGTTCTGCAGTGTGTGTGTGTGTGTGTTATAGCTTGATACAGTGATACAGCTTGAAAAATACCAGATGACTCAATATGACCCTTCAGCATGCTGGGTGTCAGTGAACCACTCTATAATGAGACACACACTTATTACATTCCTCTTGCCTCTGGCGCTCATTTTTCTGAGATTTGGAGACATTGACCTGAGATATGAGATGTTTCCTGTGCTTGTTTTCTCTGAAATTTCTTACAGTTTTCTCTTTTTATATTCATTGTTCTTTTAAGACTATTATTTTAAGTGATTTTAAGTGAAAAAAACTGTTCTGCATGTTAAATCCAATGAATAACATAAGTCGCTTTGTATAAAAGCCTGCCAAATGCATAAGTGTAAATGTTTTAGGCTATTTATTCTCTCAAATATTTTCCTAAGAACATTTTAATTTCTTAAGAATCAAATGATATTGTTAACAGTATAATAAAAATGATCTGATTTCATACTATCCTGCACATGAGGTTGCATTGTTTAATACAAACAATTCAAAACTTTACACTGGTGAATCTTAACGGTATCTCTTAACTTTCGCAGTTGCAAAATTTAATGTAAAATGCATGAAATGTGTTTATTTAACGACTTAAACTGTCACAGGATAACTTTCTTGTTATGTTGTAATGCACAGTATTTGAAACTACACAATAAATTAAACATTTTACCTTTCAAAGAAGTTGTATTTAAGGGATTTCATACAAATTTAAGGGTTATCAAAACTTCATTTATAATGATTTTTAAGGTTTTTTTAAAGAACAATTTTAAGAAAAATAGAAAAGAACATTTGTATTTTTTTGGAATACAAAATGTTCTTATTTGAAAATAACAGAAAAATGGCAGTTAGGAAGAATTTTATTCTTAAGAATGTTACGTGAATCTGGATAAAATCCTGCTAAACCTGTAACTGTAGATGTGTGTAGATGTTTTTAGCTATTTGTTCTCTTTTCTCTTTTGAAAATTTGACAAACAGACTATGACTTTTTTAGTGCGAACGGAAACATAAAAATAAATATTTTTCAGAAAAAAAGTAATTATTAAAATGATTAAAATGTGTCTTTCTCATTCCTGCTCTCTCATTCTCCATCACTCTTTCTCCACCGTGATTGGATTACAATCAACCAAAAATTATTCAGACAGCTGTTAGTATGACAGTATTTACACAACTATGAATACTTAGTCGGGCAACCCTTAGCCTTAATGACAGCATATAGTCTCCTGGGCATGCTGTCATCCAGCTTCATGCAAACCTGAACTCGGTCTGAATAATTTTTGGTCCCAAATGAGCTATTTGTTCTCTTTTCTCTTTTGAAAATTTGACAAACAGACTATGACTTTTTTAGTGCGAACGGAAACATAAAAATAAATATTTTTCAGAAAAAAAGTAATTATTAAAATGATTAAAATGTGTCTTTCTCATTCCTGCTCTCTCATTCTCCATCACTCTTTCTCCACCGTGATAATCTTCTGTGAACATTTGAAAACAATGACTTCATTCACAATATTGCACATTTGATAACTTTCTTTGTCAGACTACTTCTTTACTCACAAACAGATTAATGCATAACACATAGTCTTTGTGAAATGAATGAGCGGTCAGTTGCTGTGTGCAGATTGCCGAACCTGCCAGAATAAACCCGGGTAAGAGCACAGATGTGACGGTGTGTGTTGTGTTGTCTCTTGTGCAGGTGAGAGATGGATGTGAGAGAGGTGTATGTGGTGGCCGGCAGCTTCGTGGGGTTTCAGCTGTTCTTCAAGTGCGTCAGTCCGGTTCTGTCTTCCAACTTCACGCAGGGTTATGGGAAACTTCCTCCAAACAAACTCAACGACTGGAACTCCAGGTATCAGCCTCGTATAACTCAGCACTGCTCTAATAGAAATGTGGTTAGAAATGCGTGCATGGATGATAGAGTAAACAGTACAAATAGACATGGATTGGTAGCTAGGATGGATGAATATAATCAAACATTCACAATTATAGACAAAATCAGGGGCACGATGTAGGGAAGTCACATTTCGAGGAAATATAACATGACAAATGAAATGGTTCATGAAAATCTTCTAAGAAAAACGTTTAAAAAGTTCTTAAGATAGATTCTAAGATCTTTGTAAGAATGTTCTTAAATGCTCAAATAATTTCTTAAATCTCTTCTTAAATATTTTCTTTTTTTTAAAGTTAGAATAAAATTATACAATGTAAAAAAAAAAAGGAAAATGTGCGGTTATTAAGCTGTTGTTATGTAGTAATATTTAGGGATGCACCGATACCACTTTTTCCAGTACTCGCCCGATACCGATACTTTTATTTTTGGTGCTTGCCGATACAGAGTATCGATACCAATATTTTTATTGCATTTGTAAAATTTTTAAATATTGGGTACAGAAACCAAAAGAGTATGTATAATGTTAGTTGGTTAACTTAATTTATCAAATAGATACAGTCAAACCAAAATGTATTCAGACACCTTCAACATTTCTCACATTATCACAGTTTATTCGCTATAGTTTAGAAAATGGTAATAAAATATGACAAAAACTCAATTCAGTCAGAACAAATTCAGCTTGATAATGTCACATAACTTTGATAGAAAGGTATGTAATAGATTACAATCAACCAAAATAATTCAGACAGCTGTTAGTATGACAGTATTTACACAACTATCAATACTTAGTCGGGCAACCCTTAGCCTTAATGACAGCATATAGTCTCCTGGGCATGCTGTCATCCAGCTTCATGCAAACCTCAACTTCAGTTTTTTTTCCCAGACTCGGTCTGAATAATTTTTGGACACAAATTTGTATACATTTTACTGGTAGTCCACTGTATGAAGAATTTTTGGGTATAATATATCACAGTTTAGTTTATTTTGCTATC